TTTCTTGAAATTGTGTTTCCACCATGTTGTAAAAATTTTTGAAAACTTGCTCAGTTTCTGATTTTTCTTTAAGTAGATAAACCCAAGAAACATGAGTATGATCATCAATTAGAGTTAGAAACCATTTTTTTCAGAAATTGTTGGGATCCTATACGGTCCCCAAATGTCACTATGAATAAGTGCAAGATGACTTATATGGCTGGGCAGGAAAAGATGCACGGTGATGCTTAGCAATTTGACAAATATCACATTGAAAAGATAATGCAGTTTTATTTCTGAATAAATTAGGAAATAAGTACTTCAACTATTGAAAGCTGGGATGGCCTAACCTATAGTGCCATAACATTATTTCATCTTTCCTAGAGATAGATAATGATTCATCTTTCCTAGAGATAGATAATGATTCAAGACTAGAAAACTGAGCTTGTCCGCATGAGTCACTTCCATCCGCAAAGTAATAGAGTCCACCATTTTCCTTAGCACTACCAATCATCCTCCCCGAGTCCATTTCCTAAAATTCACAGTGAGTTGGAAGGAATTTAGCATAACACTTTAGGTCACGAGTTAATTTACTAATGGATAACAAATTACACGAGAGATTAGGAACATGAAGAACATTATGGAGAATAAGGGATTTCGAAATAGTTATTGATCCTTTTCCAGCGATGGCTGAAAGAGAACCATCGGCTATTTTAATTTTCTGATTCCCTGCACACGGACTATAGGTAGAAAACAGTGTAGAACATCCCGTCATGTGATCAGTTGCCCCCGAGTCAATGATCCATGGACAATCCGAAATAGGGGACACACTCAAGGTAAGAGCTTGACGATAATTACCTTTTTGGGCTAAAGAACAGGAGGATGACACATTGTTTGAGAATTGTGTGGATTGTAAAAGTTTGTACAGTTGTTCTAATTGTTCCTTACTGAACAAAGGAGTCTCTGAGGTTCCCCCAAGTGTGTTTTTCTCCTCAGTACCTGTCTGAAACGCTCTTGAGTCACGGTTGGGCTGCCCGAATGATTTTGGTTTCCAGTTTGATGGCTTTCCTTGTAGTTCCCAGCATGTGTCTCTCGTATGTCGCGGTTTATGGCAATGATCACACCATATTTTTTCTCCCCTTCTGTTTTGGCTTCTGTTTTGTCCACCCGGTTGTGTGGACTGACTGTTTCTTACTGCTAGAGCAGAAGCTTCTGTGTCTGATTGTTTATTGCCTTCTCCCATCATCGTCTTCCTCCACATCTCTTCTCTTCGAACTTCAGAAAACACTTCATGGAGAGATGGCAGGGGTCTTCTGCCAAGAATACGACCTCTAACTTAGGTTCTTGTTTAATCCTGCCAAGAACATATACACTATCATTCTCCATTCTCTTCAAATATCTCAGACTATCCTTCGCACAATCCCATTCCTCATCATAGCACAAGTCTAGTTCCTGCCACAAAGCTATCTTCTCATTGTAATATTCCATCACATCTCGATTGCCCTGTTTAGACAGCCACAGTTTTGTTTTTAATTCAAAAATCTGAGATGAATTCTCCACATCTGAGTAGGTCTCCCGAACAGCATCCCAAACCGCTTTTGCTGTTGGTAAAAATAAAAAAACTTTTCCAATGGCTGATTCCATGGAATTAATGAGCCACGCAATCACCAAAGAATTCTCGGATCTCCATGTCTTCAACGCTGGATCATCGTCTCTTGGTTTCTTTGTTTCTCCCGTTAGATGGCTGAGTTTACCCTTGCCGTCAATCATCAGTTTAATCGACTGTGCCCATTCCAAATAATTTTTACCGTTCAATTTGTGAACGGTTAATTGAAGAGATGGATTCTCTAATCCATGTATGGTTATGGCAGAATTTGTTGAGGTGCTGCCATCAGGGTTCCTGAGGACGCAAAGTTATATGCCCCTATCATGGCTGTTTTAGCCATTAAAAATTCCCACGGAAGAGCCTAGGCTCTGATACCATGAACGCAGGAATGAGGGAAAATAGTTTTTCTTATTATCTCATAAATGTACAGTCGAAAACTATAAATAGACCAACCCTAGACTCTTATCTTTATCCCTTTAACTAATGTCCCACAAATATAGGAATTGATAAATACTCCTAAATGATAAGTATTCCTAATAGATAACAACCGGTTTAAACTTAAAAAACATAACAGAAAAATCCTATCTTTCTACAACCTTTTTCGAGCATCAACCATACCCCAAATCTGATATTCAGGGGAGAACAGTTTCACACAAGAATACCAGCTTTGGGATCTCGATATGGAAATCAGTGCCCTAGATGATTACCACACCTCACCAAATCCAGTCAACACCCAGCCCGAGTCACCTCCTGTTTTTTGCTCACCAAAATGAACCGATTGGACTATACTTTGATCTACCTATCGAGTTACCTGAACCTCCATGACCTTCTCCTAACACTATTCAGCCTATCCAAAACAGTGAACTCCCAAGTCTCCCAAGTCTCCCGAGTCTTCGTTCCCTAGATACTACTCAATCCAAGAACAACAAAGATCTCATCACCTATTCTAGAAGGAAAAAGAACCAAGATAGAGCAACAAGTACCTCTCGAACAAATCCAAGAATTGGACCCGGATTCAAGATCAAAAGCTCCACAAGGTAATCCTGATCCCGAATCTTCTAAGGATAGTGACCTACCTATTGCAAGGAGAAAAGGTGTTAGAGAATGCACATAACACCCAATCTATAATTTTGTGTCGTATCAAGGCTTATCCAATAAATACAGGGCATTTGTGGCAAGTTTGGATCATACTTAGATTCCTAAATCCATACAAGAAGCCTTTAAGATAAAGGAATGGAAGGTGGTTGTCAATGAAGAAATTCGTGCACTGGAAAAGAATGGAACATGGGAAATCACAGAGCTACCTCTTAGACAGCATCCTGTAGGCTGCAAATGGATCTTCACCGTCAAGTACAAAGAAGATGGAAGTATCGATCGATTTAAGGCTCGGCTCGTTGCAAAAGGATTCACACAATCCTATGGAATCGACTATGAAGAAACCTTCGCTCCAATAGCCAAACTGAATACAGTTCGAGTTCTCCTATCTTTGGCTGCAAATTTAGATTGGCCACTCCACCAATTAGATGTCAAGAATGCTTTCCTCAATGGAGACTTAGTTGAAGAGGTGTACATGAATATTCCTCCTAGATTTGAGACACAAGCAACAATTAACAAAGTCTACAAGTTGAGAAGATCTTTGTATGGACTCAAACAAGCACCAAGGGCTTGGGTTGACAGATTTACAAGAGTGATCAAGCAATATGGTTATTCACAATGTCAGAAAGATCACACACTCTTTGTTAAACACTCACCCAAAGGGAGGGTTGCCATTCTTATTGTATACGTGGATGATATTATTTTAACAAGTGATTATGAGCAGGAGATCAACATTCTCAAGGACCTGTTCGCTAAAGAATTTGAGATCAAAGACTTGGGAAGCCTTAAGTACTTTCTCGGGATGGAGATAGCTCGATCAAAAGCAGTCATTTCAGTCTCTCAAAGGAAATATGTTATGGATCTTTTAAAAGAAACAAGAATGCTCGGATACAAGCCAGCAGATACTCCCATGGACTCAACTACTAAACTAGGAACCAAAGAAGACAGTGCACCAATTGATAAAGGTAGATATCAGAGACTTGTGGGAAAGCTCATATATTTATCACACACAAGACCTGACATCGGTTTCTCTGTTAGTACGGTAAGTCAGTTCATGAATAATCCAAATGAAGAGCATATGGAGGCAATCTATAGGATCCTGAGGTATTTAAAACTAACACCAGGAAAGGACTTGTATTTTAGAAGGTCACCAGACAAAGATATCAAGATATACAGTGATGCTGATTGTGCTCGATCATTAAGAGACCGAAGATCAACCTCTGGCTACTGCACATATGTATGGGGAAATTTAGTCACATGGCGAAGTAAGAAACAATCTACTGTGTCAAGGAGCAGTGCAGAAGCCGAATTCAGACCTATGGCGCATGATATATGTGAAGGAATGTGGCTGAGAAGACTTCTAAAAGAGTTGAGGATCATGATTGAAGAACCTATGAAGATGTTCTGTGACAATTAGTCAGCTATTAGTATCGCGAAGAATCCAGTGCATCATGATAGGACAAAGCACGTGGAGATTGATCGCCACTTCATAAAAGAGAAGATAGAAGGAGGAGTAATTAAGTTACTACATCTGCCAACTTGTCTTCAAACAACTGACATTCTTACTAAAGCTCTACCAAGGAAGAACTTCAAAGACTTGAGCTCCAAGCTAGGCCTAATCAATATTTATAGCCTAGCTTGAGGGGGGTGTAGAATATTCTATTTTTATGCTATAGAATATGCTTATTTATTTCCTAGAATAGCTCTGTAAATTACAGTGGGCCTGGGTGATATGTTACCCGATTTCCTTAGATTAGAATTTTCCTCTTTTTTGTAGTTACTGAAATTAGGATATTCGGTAGGATATTTTCCCTAATTACTAGATGAACCTCCATCTATAAGAAGGGCTGTAATATACGTTTCTAAGCAGAGGAATAAAGTTAATCTTCTCCAATTTCCTCAACTATTATCTGGATTCTTGATGATTTGATGGCGTATGATTGTTGTTTACCTTCTCCTGTGCGAGGTCTCTTTGCTTCTTGGTGAACAAGTGAAATTTTATGAATGAGTTTATGTCTATGAATACTTCTGTTTCTATACATTCCCACATGTATACATGTGCTTATAGCATTCGTTCTCATGCTTTTGTTGCCAGAAAACTTACATGCTCATTCATCTTTTGATTCTTTGCTTCTTGGTGAACAAGTGAAATTTTATGAATGAGTTTATGTCTATGAATACTTCTGTTTCTATACATTCCCACATGTATACATGTGCTTATAGCGTTCGTTCTCATGCTTTTGTTGCCAGAAAACTTACATGCTCATTCATCTTTTGATTCACTTCTAACATTCTGATCCTGTGATTTTACTCTATGTAGGGGCTACATTGAAGCAATTAGAGAGGTTGAGCAGCAAGTTCAGACTGCAAAAGAAAATTTTGACGATATTGTTGTAGCATGTGGCAGGTTCTACTCTATCTTTTATGATGAGCGGTACTTTAATTCAATTTATTTAGCTGAAAATTTGATTATTTGTACACGTTATGTCCCAATTAAAAAAAAAAAAAAAAAAAAAAAACCTTCTACTTTAAATATTAACTGTTACGACACCTTAAGAAACATTTCCTTTGATTTACACAATTGTTAGTAAGAAAAACTTGAGGAGTTAGAATGTGTACCAGGGGCTTGAACATATTAAGTTAACGTATGTAATGTCGGACAAGTAAGAAGAAAAGGAAAGATCAGGAACAATTAAAATTTCAATGGTCAATATCGAAGGAAAAAGGCAGCCTCAGAACAAGGCCTTTGTAATTAGTTGGTTACAATTTAATTCACTGGTGGAGCTTCCTTTTTTTTTTTTTTTTAAATTCCAAGTGCCAAATCCTCTGAAGATTGGGAGATGCAGCGACCTATACATTAATAGTATCCAATCCATCAGATTTTCTTGGACTATTTACATTTGTTTTCTAAGATCATTTTGCCCTGTGTTTCACACATTATTTATTTTCAGTGGTGGTACAATTGCTGGTCTATCATTGGGTTCATCATTAAGTTCTTTGAAGGCAAAAGTACGTGCCTTATGTGTATTTTCCTTTTCTTTCATCTTCTGGTTCTTTCGTTTTTCATGTATTTTCCTTTTCTTTCTTCATCTGGTTCTTTCATTTTTCCTCTAACTGTGTTTCCTTGCGTCCTACCTACAGGTTCACGCATTCTCTGTTTGCGATGACCCCAATTATTTCTATGACTTTGTCCAAGGCCTACTTGATGGTCTTGAAGCCAGTGTTAATGCGCATGATATTGTTGACATTCAAAATGTGAGTGATAATCTGTAGGCTAGTTTAGGACTTTTCTGTAAACTAGTGTTTGGGTAACAACTTAAGTTTGTGCCTTTTTTTCTTGTTAAACACAAGTCGAAGGTAATAATTGGATCCTATTTCTGACAGGCTAAAGGTCTAGGCTATGCAATTAACACCTCTGAGGAGCTTAAATTTGTAAAGGACATTGCCGCTGCTACTGGTGTTATTCTTGACCCCGTTTACAGGTTTGCATCAATCATACGTTTGGCATTTCTTTCGGTGACAATAAATATTACTGTAACAATGAATCTTTTGCTTGGTTGATCATTCCTCCTATTGCTTATTCCTTTTTAGCGGCAAAGCTGCTTCTGGACTGTTGAAGGACATGAAGGAGAATCCAAAGAAGTGGGAAGGGAGAAAGATCCTCTTCATACACACTGGTGGGCTGCTAGGACTGTATGACAAGGTTGAGCAGTTGGCTTCATCGGTGGGAAATTGGCATCGAATGGACGTCCATGAATCTGTTCCCCGCAAAGATGGTACTGGAAAAATGTTCTAGAGGGGAAATACAAAGACTAGAAATACAAATACCGCAAAGGTTGTACCATATCTTCTATTTGAGTGAGGTCATCGAAATCTTCTAATAAAAAAGGTGAAATTTCTTGTTCATATTATTAATCGAAGATATGCTTTCTATTATTTATTTATATTTTCTTATACTGTTAAGAGTATTGTGCTTTAGCGGTTCATTTATTTGTTTTAAATTTCTGCCTTCGATGGATGACACGCGCACATACAAAATGCTTCTGTTAATGAACCGAGCAAGTAGATCAAAGTCCACAAAAAACAAACAGAAAAGGCAGAGGATGGAATTTCAAAGCATCCTATCCCTACAAACAAGGAGGAAAGAGGTCATTGGCAAGGACTTTGGGCTGCAATATTCCCCATCCTCCACATCCAGCTGATGAAGCATGCAAAGGAATCGCGCACCTTGGAAAGGATCTTTTGGCAAATGGACTTCAGCTCCTAATCATGCGCAATCCTTGAAGAGAGGGAATTAACGACCGGCTTCATGTATCCCTCAATTCGGAGGTTTTCCCACCCTTTACCAAGAGCCATCTCCATGGCTGAAAGAGCAACTGCAGCTTCACTAGCAACCACGGAATGTGCAGACTCGCAACAAATCCCCAAAACAATGCTTGAATTGTCTTGATCGACACACCCTAGGGCACGGGGGATGCAAAGAAATCGGCATCATAACTCATAACAGAAACTGTAGCTTTGACCCGACCCTAGTTCGTGTAAATCTAGAGTTACACAACAACACTAGGCCTCGTTCACTTCGTATATTCGAGTTTTCAATTCGAGTTGAGATGTGACATTTTATGAGAGCTTTTCATTGTAGTAGAAAAAATTAAATATGGCATTTTTTGAGAGTTTTTTACTGTAAGAATTTAAAATTAAAAACTCGAATCGGTGAAATAAACGAGGCCTAAAAAATTCTTGCCCCATCTCAGCCATAGACTGCACTACAATTTCCACCACGGTAAAGGATTCCTTGAAGCAAGCACAATTCCTACAATCCTAGAGTCCAAAGCCACTTAGCAAAAAAGAAAATAATAATAATAAATGCTATGGCGGCTTGCAGAGTGAGGTGGGTGCTGACGAGAGACCTCTAGGTGCTAAGAAATTAGTTGGAGCGGCCACTGTGAACTGGATGAGCTCAGCACTAGAGGCAATGGGAATGCCATGCCATTCCAACAAGCTCCCACCAAAAAAAAAAAAAAAAACTTCGTTGTCACAAACTGGTAAGCAACAAAAATGTGAACCAAGTGTAGTTAAAACCACAACATGAATTGGTCAACAAGGAATGAAAAACAGCAGCACAACAACAGTAATAACCTCTTAGCTTCCGCTAATAATAGTCAATCTTGGCCACTACAGTGATCGTGACTCGACTATGTCATCAAACTGATCTGATCCCAGTCTCAATTTTGACCTGTCAATTTGATCTCAACGGAGATCTCAATCTAAACTAAGTAAGATTTTGATTCAACTCGACCTCGGTGGCAATCTCTATCCGTTGGCTTGACCTTAAAGATCGTCCCGACACCAAATATCAATCTTGACCGTTGTCTATTCTAATATTGATCTTAACTCGTTCACATGTTTTTATTTAAAAAAAAAAAATTGGAAAAATGAAATTTTTGTTTTGATAATTTAAAAAATCTGATAAGAAGTCAAAAAAAAAAAAAAAAGATCACCAAGCATGTTTTGAAAATAAAGTTTTTACTTTTTGTTTAAAAATAGAAAAAAATGTTTAAATAAAAATTACTCGTGTTATTTCCAATAGTTCTATTTCAGCTTTCCTTTCTAATGAGTTTATCTGAATATTAAATCTATGATTGTAAGTTAATAATGATATATTCTTAAAACATAAAAAATATTGATATCTAATTATAAAAAAAAAAAAAAAGAATGCACACATACTGTCATACACACATTCAATGAACCTCCCATATACATGTCCCCATCACATGACTGCATTTGAAAACCACGCATAGCAAACCTACCCCACATTTTCCACTCTTCAATATGCGATTTAGTGTTTATACCCTTTTAAAACTAAGTCAAGGCCAAATTGAGTTAACATTTGAACTCTAGGGCTATTTGTATAGATAATCCGTTTACGGTTCAAAAATATAAGTATTGTTCATTTCACTGATTTTAAAATATAGTTAAAAATTTTCAAAAAAATCACATTTAATATTTTTTACTGTAGTTAAAAATTCTAAAACAATATTACATCTTCGCTCGAATTGAATACTCAAATTCACAAAGTGAACAAGACTATAGTAATATCAATTGACCGATTTGAATCCCATGATAGGGGTTATTAGTGGTCCCGACGGGACCTACGGTGAAAACATCCTATAGTTGAGCAGTATGATGATCAACAGCAAAGCTAAGGACGTGACAATATAGGCATCATAAGTGAGTGTGTTTACTGCACACGAAAAGAAAAGGATAATGAAGAACGATAAATTTGAAAAGTATACTCAAACCATGATTTTTAATTCTTACGTTTAAAATTTAAATTTTTTATATAAAATAATTATTTTAATTTTAAATCATTCATCATATTTTTATTTATATAATAATATTATTATAAAATACATTAAATTTAACATTTTTTTTTCAATTTTTTTTTTCTCTCATATTAAATGTCATGAAAAATCTTCATGCTACTTATCACTCTTTTTTATTTTCCATCTCTCCTACCAAACATAGCTTAAATGTCATGGACTGGCAGTAGTGCATTGCATTCTTTCCCATTCTCATTCCGACAATCAGAAAAAAAGAAATCATCTGTTAAGTTTAAGGTGTCTTAAATGTGGTTTAACAAATCATATTTTATCATGTTATTTAATAGATTCAAACTCTAAAGCATGAAAAAAATCAATTGAGAAGAATGTCAAAATTTTTATGTGATATGTATAGTTAGATGCTATTTTGCATATCATCAATATTGGACAGATGATCATGAGTTAAGAGGAAGTGCATTCTTAACTCACTCTCTCTCTCTCTCTCTCTCTGTCCTCAGCTTCAGAAATGGAGCACAACAACATCAGAGCAGTGGGCTTGGATTTCCTTACAAGGAAGCCTTATTTGCCTCCTTCATGGGCGAACCATCTCACCCAAATTCCCTCTCACGTCTTCTCTCTCGCCCATGTAACCCGATTGTTTCTTATCTTTCCAGTTTGTTTCATCAGGATCACCCGCTAATTTTTTTTTTGTTTACTGAGGCTTTTGAGTTCCGCTATGGTTTGTACTGAATTTTTTTGCATGCTTATGATTTTATTACCAGGTTCCAACTCCAATTCACAAGTGGAATCTCCCTAATTTGCCTAACAATACAGAAGTCTGGTTGAAGGTACGTATCTGCCTTTTGTTTCTTTGTTTTATTTTCCTATGAAGTTATTGAAAATTTTCTCTCTCTAGATATTGCTTATGCCTCCTTGTTATAGATATAGTAGCTGTATGTAGACTAATTTGCATACACCATATATCTGCTTAGTGCTTCCTATATTTGTTATGCCTTTTTTTTTTTTTATTATTCATATAAGTTTCAATCATTTATATCTCATGTTTCAATACGTGTTGCATTATGAAATGTTTTGGAGATGGAATGAACATCAGAAATTTTGAAGATAAAACGTCAAAATCTGTTCTATTTCTGGGATAGGATAAAGTTTTGTCTTCCTTGTTGGCTTTTAGTTACAATATGTCTTTTTGCTGAATCAGAACGCTTGTCAACAACCTGCTCTTTCTATTTTTATATCTTTTCTCGAGGACTTCTTACTTGTCCTCCCCTTACTTTTCATCCATAATTTTTTCCCTTATTTTTATTTAAGCAATTTGGTTCGAATCAATTACTTAAGATAGGTTACAGAGGTCTCTTATAAGGTCTATTTATTACCGGATGATTTTTCTCGCTCATCATCGAAGAATTTTGAATTTCACACTCGTTTGAGTTGTTGTTATAGGTGATTTATTCATAATTTAGTCACTTTTCTAGTTTATACTGAAAGAAGTATTTGCTGATATTTTAGCGTGAGGATCTTTCTGGAATGCAACTAAGTGGTAACAAAGCCAGGAAGTTGGAATTCTTGATGGCAGATGCTGTTGCACAAGGTGCTGATTGTATCATAACAATAGGAGGAGTCCAAAGCAGCCATTGCCGTGCTACTGCTGTGGCTGCGAGATATCTGAATCTCGATTGTTATCTTATACTACGCACCTCTGAGGTCAGAAAAAGAAATTTTTTTTTTTTTTTTTTTTTTTTTTTTAACGTTTCATTGATTAAAATCAATTACAAATGGGGACAAAATAGAAAGAACAAGAGAAAAAAATAAAATAAATAAAAGGCAGAGTCTCCTGGAAACATGTTACAAGTCACCCTAGGAACTTTGCCATTTTATCTTTTGAAATTCGAACTAAGGACTATCAATGAAAAGGGAAAACTGTTGAACACTATATCTATAGATGCCCATAATGAAGCCGAAAACCTTGCCTTCTCTAGATGGTCGGTTTGGGTTCATCTCCTTATCCTAAAAAATCCTAAAGTTTCTTTCCCGCCAAATTGTCCATAGAATTGAGAGTATGATTCTTTTGCACATCAGTTTACAGAATTCATTGCTTCATTTATTACTCAATTTTACTCGTATTTGTTTTGTTTTTTTGTTTTTTTTTTTTGCTTTTCCTTCGACTTATTTGGCGGTTGAATAGACTTTTTGCTCCGTTTCTTTTGTTGTACTCAGGTTCTTGTAGACCAAGATCCAGGACTGACGGGCAATCTCCTGGTTGGGCGGTTAGTTGGAGCTCATGTCGAACTAATTTCTGTAGAAGAATATGCGAAAATTGGGAGTGTGGTTCGTCAATTTTGCTCCTAGTTACTAGTTTTAGGCTCCATGAGCCATTTTTTTTTTAACTTCATATCTGAACTTATGTGATTGCGGTATTAGTCTCATCAAACTTTGAAAAACTAAAAGATGTTAAAAACGAAATTGTGAAGGTACATATTCATGCGTGCAAAAGGCAAATTGAACTTCATGCCTTGTCCCATGTATAACAATATATGTTCTTCTGATGTTGATAATCAACATTCATAGGCACTGATTTCTGTTTTCTAAACTAGGATTAAACTTCTTAATTTTTCCTCCCAGGCTCTTACTAATCACCTAAAAGAAAAACTGCTAAGTGAAGGGAGAAGGCCATATGTCATTCCTGCTGGTGGATCAAACTCTTTGGGAACCTGGTTAGATTGTAATATTTGTCTTTTTGTTTAAGGTTCGGTGAGAAGTTGTTGTTCTATGGTGGATCTTAAGGTTCAAGCTTACTGTCTTTTTATCATATGCTTTATCTTTGTATAAATCTATTTGATTTTTTTTTATCTGGATATAGTATTTTTGATATGCTATGCCTTTTTTACATCTAAAAACATTGTGCTGATCCTTTAATTATTTCCTATAAACATCTAAAACATTAGTTATATGTCAATGATTACTTTTGTTTTTATACATGCACACATGTATCCATGCGCTTATTGAATTGGTTCCTTTAAACTTTCATGCCTTTGTTCTTTTGATTCCCTTCTAATGTTCTGATCATGTGATTTTACTCTATGCAGGGGCTACATTGAAGCAATTCGAGAGATTGAGCAGCAAATTCAGACTACCAAACAAAAATTTGACGATATTGTTGTAGCATGTGGCAGGTTCTACTGAGTTTGACTTTATTTCAAATTATTCACCTGAAAATCTGATTATTTGTACATTTCTTTTGCTTAATTTGGATATTAAATGTTAAGAACCTTTGGAAAACATTTACTTTGATGCACACAAATTGTTAGCAAGAAAATCTTGGGAAGTAAGAATGTGTACCAAAGGTGTGACAAATTTTGTCAACGTATACAATGCTGGACAAAGAAGTAAAGAAAAAGATTAGGAACATGAGATATGTTTCGATGGTCGATATAGAAGGAAAAGGCGACCTAGAACAAGGCCGTCATTATTAGTTTGTACAACTTAAATTTACTGGTGGAGCTTTCTTTAATGATTCTTAAGGGATTTCTTTTATTTTTTTTATTTTTGGAGTAAGTCTTCCGAATTAAGATTTGGAGATGAGGTGACCTATATATTCATACAGTCCAATCCGTCAGAATTTCTTGGACATTATATGCGTTTCACATGTTATTTATCATATTTCAGCGGTGGTACAATTGCCGGACTCGCGTTGGGTTCATCATTGAGTTCTTTGAAGGCAAAAGTACGTGCCTAGTATGTATTTTTTTTTTTTCCTTTTTTCTTTCTTCATCTGGTTCCTCCACTGTCATGCAACTTCCTTGTGTCCTACAGGTTCACTCATTCTTTCCTCGCCGTGACCCAAATTACTTCTATGACTTTATCCAAGGCCTATTTGATGGTCTCGAAGCCGGTGTTACCGTGCGCGACATTGTTAACATTCAAAATGTGAGTGATGATTCTGTAAACAAGTAGTAGACGTTTGGTTTATGGATTCAGAACTATGATTCAGAACCATTCTCATTTTATGTGTGTTTTTTGTCAGAGAAAAACACTGTAGAGAACTATGAATCATGATTCAAAATCAGAGACGAATATAGGAAATAAACATGTTTTTCGTTGACATTTTACTGTTTGTGCCGTTTTTTGCTGTGTTCTTGTGGCTGGCTGTAGTTTCCTTATGCGAAAGGTAATAATTGGATCTTAGTTTCTGACAGGAAAAAGATCTAGGCTATTCAGTAGACACCTTTGAGCAGCTTAAATTTATTAAGGACATTGCTGCAGCTACTGGTGTTGTTCTTGACCCTGTTTTCAGGTTTGCATCAATCATAAGTTTGGAATTAAATAAATACTGCAACAAATGAATCTTTTATTTTGCATTGGTTGATGATTCCTCCTACAAATGATTATTTCTTTTTTAGTGGGAAAGCTGGTTATGGACTGTGGAAGGACATGACTGAGAATCCAAAGAAGTGGGAAGGGAGAAAGATCCTCTTCATACACACAGGTGGTCTGCTGGGGTTGTACGACTATGTTGAGCAGATGGCTTCATTGGTGGGAAATTGGCGTCGAATGGACATCCATGAATATGTTAATGTTCCCTAGAAAGAAATATGTTCCATCCAAGTCTTCAAAGTGAATGTTGTTGCCTACAAAAGGAGACGATTTCTTGCTCATATTATTAAGGAGATTCGTACTGTACATGCATGAATACATATATATATATATATATATATTATATATGTGTGTGTGTGTGTGTGTGTAATACATCTGTAATCTATAATTATATATATATATATATATATGGCTTTTTGCATGGTACCCCTCAACTTTTTGAGATTGACAAATTAATCCTTACACTTTTTCTTGCAATCATGTCCCTAATGTTACAAATCCTTTACAATTCGGGTTCAATTGAAAATGTCCGTTAACAATTGTACGGATTTAATCACGCAACAAGCACGTGATTTTTTTAGGGGCATAAGATTTTCATTTCACAAAAACAAAACCCTTTTTCAGGAAAAAAAAAAAGAAGAAAAGAAACCTGTTTCTGGGAGAAAAAAAGAAAGAAGGTTAAGTAAATTAGAAGACCGCAAAGAAAAATAGTTAATGCCACGTTTATTTTACCGATTCGAATTTTAAAATTCCAATTTTGTTACAGTAAAAAACTCTCAGAAACAGTCATATATAACTTTTTTGCTACAGAGAAAAATTTTCACATAAAGTTACATCGCAACTCGAATTAAAAACTCGAATCAACGAACTAAACGAGCTATAAATACGAGTGTAATTGAGAATAAATATTTTAATAGAGAATATTAGTAAAAAAATAATGAAGCACATTTTAGAAATTTAAAATAGTAAAATACATGCACGAAAAATACAATTTAGTCAAACAGTTTCCTATTTACGCTTTATTTTAGTTTTTTCACCTTTACTTATCTAATATATATATATAATAAAAACGTGTTAAAGCAACTAGGGATGTTCTTTTGCCGTTTTTGAGTTAGATGATTTGAGTGTAAATTTTGAGTTGAGTTTAAGTTATAATTTGAGTTGAAGTTGTAACTTGAGTTTGTGTTTGGTTGTGTATATTTGAGTTATGATTTGAGATAAGAATCTTTTTGAGTTTGTATTTGAGTGAGTCAAAAGTTGAATTTGTATTTAGATAGTATTTTAACAAAAACTTAATGCTGATGAAAAATTTTAATAGGGTATATGTGTGAGGTTTTATTCGTCTTTTCGTTGTCAACGCATAGAAAAAAAATCATCTCAATCAGAATTAAAATGAAAAAGTTATAGCATTTTTAATAATAGAAAAAATAATGTTCATTAATTTGAGTTCGAGTTTCTGAACTCGAGTTGAAAGGGAAACTTAAACTCGAGTTTTAATCGTAAACTCGAGTTCAAACTTAAAAAAATATGAACTTAAATAAAGTTATAATTCGAGTTACTTTTTTGAATTTTTGACTCAAAAAAGGGCTGCCGAACAGCCTCTAAGTAGGCAGGTGTGTTTTAATTTTCGTTTCCCATTATGCCCCTTTTGTTTTTTTTTTAACGTTTTCTTCTGATTGGCTTCTATTGTATTTGTCCACTTACCTTCATTATTAAATTTATCTGCTTGTCCTCTTTTCTTGCTAATTTTTTTTTTTTAAAAAGAAATACGATACAATAACTTTTCAAAAAAGATTTAGAAGACTGTTAATTAATAACTACTCTTGTCGCCTATTCTTTTTTCTTACTTCGAGTTTAAGAAAAACGGTTAACATTTGTTTACATTTACGCCTTTTATTTTTTATACTTTTTACTTATTTGTTATTTATTCTTTTTTCTTTCTTTAGAGTTTTTTTTTTCCACGAAATAGGCGTGTCTTAAAGTAGACGGGTGTCACGAAAATATTTTTTTTCCATTTATATCATTCACATTTTTTACTTTTCACTTACTTGTTATCTACTAATTTTTCTTACTTCAAGCTTAAAAATAAGCTATTAATTTTTGTTTCTATTTAGGCCTTTCCCCTTTTATATTTTTTACTTACTTGTTATTTACTCATTTTCTCTTATTTAGACTTTAAAGAAAAATAATCTAATTTGTGTTTCCATTTATATCCTTTATCTTTTGTACATTTATGCCCTTTATCTTTGGTAGTTTTACTTATTTTTTCTGTGTTCTTTCCTCTAACTTACAATTTAACAAAAAGCAGTTTAATTTTTTTTTTTTCATTTATATCATTCACTTTTTATACTTTTTACTTACTTGTTATTTACACTTTTCTCTTACTTGGATCTTAAGAAAATAGTGGTTTAATTTTTGTATCTATTTATGTGTTTTACTTATTATCAACTCTTTCCACTTAGACGTGGTTTAATTTTTGTTTTTATTTTATACGTTTTACTTGCTATTAGGGCATAACAAAAAATGATCAAATTAAATAATTTTTTAATATTATGATGATCAGAATATTCTTAGAACTTATTTATCAGCGTCATAAAATTGTTGATCTATTTTTTACTTATTTTTTGTTTGTTTTCTCTTATTTAGAGGATAATAAAAAGTAGTAAGATTAAATAATATTTATATTATGACGATCAAATTATAGTTAGAATTTATTTATCTACATCGTAAAATTATTTCTCTAATAGATAATAAATATGATAGTTAAATTCATGCAATATTGCAACAACACGTGCCTCTTTTTTTTTACTAGTTTTATCATTAAATATATTTTCAACTTTTTTGTTAATACTTGTCTTTTCTTAAAATCGTATTTAAACAATAAAAAGTTATTTATCTAAATACTTATATTTTTATTTTTTTTCATAAATATCTCCCTACTTAAGTACCTATTTGATTCATTTTTATTGATTTTTTTTTAAATATGATCTATTTATCTATACAATATTAGACTAAAACACACATTTTAATTAAAAGATGCATTTAAGTACATTTGCTTTTTATTTTTGAATCTTATATTTTTAGGTGAACCTTATTAAAACAATATTTATAGAGTATTTCCTAAAAAATAACTTTTTTTAATTATGCCGCTACTTAAATACTTCTCTTAATTCTCTAAAATATTATTTCTTCCTAATTTAACCCTTAAAAATACTAAGATTATTTGAATGCCATTTTCTTGCAGCCTTCTCGGATACTATTTTCTTATCATTTAAGTTATTTTTGCTGTATTATATATCTATTAATCTATTACCTATTATCTATTATCTAATATCTATTACATGTCTAAAGTGAGAGTTTTCTTTTCTAATGTTCAAAACTTAAGAAAAAGAGACAAATATCTTTTAATTAAATGCATGTGTCTTAAATTTTTATCTTATTAATATTCTGCAGTTAAAAAATTATATTAGTGAATAGAGTATTAATTAAGAGTAAATAATAATTCAGTAAAAAAAAATCAAGAATAAATTATAAAAATCTTATAACAATGTAATTTAAAGAGTGAGTTCACTAATTTTATCTCAAAACTTACATGTCTCTATTTTGTCTTCTGTGGTCTTTAATAATATTAAAACTATTAAAACGACACATAAAGAATTATTTTTTTGAGAAATAAGAATCATGTTTTAAAAGAAATAAAAATGAATAAATCTTTTTTTTAAGAAGAAGTTAAGGTCCGTTTGAAACTCGTTTTAAAATAATTTTATTTTTAATATGAAAATAGAAATGAAAATATTTTTAATTTTAGATAGAAATTATTTTTGAAAATGTGTTTAGTAATTTTATCAAGAGATTATTTTAAGTATAAAAAAATTCATTAATATCTCTCTTTATGTGCTCGGGAGAGGAGAAAACGAAAATAAAAAATAAAAAATAATTAAAAATTATTTTTTATTTCTCTCTTATTTTACACTAAATTAAAAAATTATTTTTATTTTTATTTTTTATTTTTAATTATACTAAACTAAACACCGTTTCTCCCATATTTTTATTTCTTTTCAAAAAACGTAAAAAACAAAAATAAAACCAACACCAAACATGTCATAAATATTTTTTCTTACTTCTTTTGCAAAGGGAAAAAAAAAAAAAAAGGCTTGTTCAGGAGTCCTTCCTTACCTTCGACGTTAAGCCAAGCATCGGAGTCTCAGACAATAAATTCCAGCGGCGAACATAGAAGGAAGAAGAAGCAGCTGAGTTAATCACAGAACCCTAAAGGATAATGGCGCTTCAATGGATGATTCTGACGTACGTAGTGGCCGTCGAGGCCGCCTTGGCCATTCTCTTAACCCTTCCCTCACCAAAGCTCCTCAAGAACCGCTTCGTCTCTCTCGTCTCCTTAATCCTCCAACCTTCCTTTTTCATCATCCCCTTCGCCGGCTTCCAGCTCCTAGGTCTTCTCTCTACTGTTTTGCTTTGATTTCTTTTTTAGCCTGTTTGGCATCTGAGAAAGTTTCGCAATTTGATGGATCTGGTTTTAATTTTTTTCCCTTTTTGTTCTGTTCTCTGATGAGTGTAGATCTCTACTGGAAGAGCGAGCACCGCTTGATGTGCAGCTCTGAAATCTGCACGGCTACTGAGAGAGATCGATATGAAAAATCAGTGAGTTTTCTTATGACGTTTCTCGAATTTTCTTTTTCATTTTGGTTCATTTCTGATATAATTTGACACGTATGTCGAAGTATTGAAAATTTGTAGCCAATTTTACTTGGATTATCAAATTTATTATTTGCTTTAATCGGTAAGGTATAGAAATTTCTTGATCAGAAGAATTAGATATGCATAATTCCTTTTTTTTTTTTTTTTTTAATGGAGTGCTGAAAGATTTTCTGATATTTTCTTTCGAGAAAACCCTTTTTAATTACAGTTTTGTAATGGAGCTGAATGTATGTTCTGTCAATAATTAAGATCATGTTTCCTGCGCGACATATAATGTTAAAGCTAACTGACGTGGGTGGTCCATTTTGGTTTAATCATTTTCTTAAATGTCTGATTTATGTTATATTTCAAATAGAATATAGGGGAACACTAATTTCAAATTTGAGAAGAAGCAGGTGAGAGACATTGTATGGTAGGGGAAGGTGATGGCTCCAAAATCATTGAGGATGGAACTTGTAGAACTTAGTTTTTCGGATTAAACTTAATGGCGGGCTAGGCAATGAAAATTGAAGGCGAAAAATTTAGCTTAAGTGTGGGATTTGACTGTTTCTGTTGGAAGACGATTCTTTGTGGTGGTGAACTGTTAAAAGAAAATATTGCATTCGAGATTATGCTTCAAGTTTGAAAGCTGTTGCCTGTTGGTATAGTTTCTTTCAGAAATCCATGGAAATCCATGGAGATTCATTTCTGAAAGTGATACTCAATTTTTTGGTTGTAATAAGTTGTTCGTGCCTTCATGGACAATGGGCATAAAGTTCAATTTTGCAAGGAGAGAGGACCATATGAAGTTTTGAATTCCATTCCTAGTTTTGTGCCTTCTGTCTAGATTTTATTTCACATTTTCTTTATGGTATTTAGCTGGAAGTATTTTTTTGCAGTCTTTTTTTCATTATGCTTGTGTGCTCCTTCTCGTTATTGTGGGTTTTTTATTCGTTATTTCTTAATACAAACTTTTGTTTAGTATTACTATCAAGAACAATGCTACCGTTTCTTCATTGTTTTAGTAAATGAAAAGTACTTTTAGTTAGGAGTTTTAGAAGGAAGCTTAGTGGTGCACATCTAGTATTAGGGCTGAGCTAGCGCCTAGCCCGTTGCCTACATATGGCTTGACATATTTGGGCTGAATCCCCCATCCCACATACATTGCATTGCACTCACGGACGCGCACACATTAAAAAAATAAATAAATAAAAGAAGAAGAGGTGTAGCTTATGGATCTGCCCACCTAGCAAGAATACCGGAGAGATGTAATGGCGCAAGTGTCATATTTGGCATGAGTTGGGAAGATCATGGATTCTTAAGACAATCTCTAATGCAACTGCCATTGCCAATTCTATATGTGGCACACAAAAAAGTGTGAAAATAACATATTTGATAGATTATTCTATTTTGTGTTGCACTGCATAATGCAATTCCAAATACTATATCTACTTTCTGTCATAATCATTAAGCTTTAGAAGTTGTAAAAGTAAAATTTTAGTCTTGAATACTTTGGCAATGTTGTAATTATTAAATGGAAAAGTCAACGCATCAACCCATAGCAAGTGACTGCCAAAATTTAGGGCATATTTACTTTGCATCAAAGGGAAAGGGAAAGTGAGGAGTGATTCCCTTTCCTATCTAATAATTTGTTAACTTACAAAATCAGTAATGGTGATTTAGTGGTCTCCACATAATATAGGGAATGAGGAAAGGGAATGCCAATCCTTACACTCCTTTACTATTGATTCCTTGTCAAAGGAAATGAATGCTAAATTTACTTATCTACCCTTAATGAATAACTATTAGTCAATAATTATTAAATTGTGTAAAAGGACATTTTAGTGATTACATTCATAACGTTGCTATTCCTAATTTTAGTAAACGTAAGAAAGGGAATGTGATTGTTTCCCGTTACAACATCTAATAGTCAAGTAAACACTTAAAAGGGATTGAATGACCCTTTAATCCTATTACTTTACTTTCCTTTCCAATCCCATTGCATTTCCCATTACATTCTTTTGCGGCTTGGTAAATGCGCCCTTAGTATATGCTATGCTTGGTGCTAAATTTAGCAACAAGTGTAGCACATGCCGAATTTAGCGCCAAAAATAGCAACGCATTGGAGTGTTTCTTCTACCCAAATGTGAAAATTTGGCATTGGCGCTGCGTTGGAGATACTCTACGAAAGGACTTTTTTTTTTTTTTTTTTTTTTTGGCTATAAGTTTCAGTAAATTCTTTTCTTCGACATACATTTCAGTTCGAAACATCTTTTGGGCTTCTACTGGAGGACTCAATATATTCTTTCTTAATGATAGGACGAAATCGACCAGCATATAGGTTATTTGGTGTTTGTTTGCCTTTGTATTTTTCTTTTGGTAGATTGCTCCAGGCCCTTCTTTCCCCCCCTCCCTTAACAAGATTATGCTTATCCAAAACATGAGATTGAGTAGGAACATGTAAGTTGATTACAACCATCAACCTATACAGTAATAAGGGTGTCTAGTAAATTGAGCGGAAAAGGTGGGAATGTCATTCTCTATTTGGCATTGCCTGATTGCCTGATTGCCATATCATATCTTTCAGTTTTTTTCATGTTTGTGCATAGAGAAATGCTAGTCTTCATAAAGGTTTTAACACGAACTTCACCAAACATATTGAAATGCGATAACACGTGCAAGTATAGGAGTCATGTGACCTTTTAATGTTTTATCATATGCAAATCACAAATTGTAATTCGTTAAATGTAGAGCTCCTTTTTGTGCATATGCATAGACTTTTCAGAGTGTGTATGTGTATTATTCAACGATAGAGAGATTATGGTTGGATCTGGTTCAAAACAAATCACAAAACAGTGATCACAAAGGAAAATGATCGATCAGAGAGTTCTGAATTGATTTCTATTAAGCAAATTGGCAAGGAAAAATTCAAGGATATGGGGTTTTCAAGTGACCCTTTCACTCCCTAGAGCTAAAGCTCCACTAAATTCAGAACACTCAGAGAAGATGAGCCTTCCTCACACTTTTATTCATTTTTCCTCTAACTAACTGACAGACTCCCAGTCCAATGCAATCATGCCTTTCCCACATCACAGCACACCCTTCCCACGTCTCAGCATCCAATCCAAGTCTAATTCCCCTGCCAGCTCACCTTTTCTGGTGTCATCTGAAATTGCAGCCTCTTCTCCTGCCAACTCAGCAGCACACTTGGCATTTCCACCACCATCAGCATTTGTCTCAGCATTTTCCATCACTTGCAACAGCTTATATTCTTTCCTCTCGTACCATTTTTCCTTTTCGGAGCATACATAAAACGCAATGGATTATTAATATATAAAGAATAAAATGTATACCGCAAGGCATTTGATTTTTCAGGTGCAATTAATCCTCAAATCATGTCATTGATCAATGTTCATCATCTGAAAGTAGTAGACTTGTACTTTCAATGTTATACCTTTTAAATAAGTAGCTAAACATAGACATACTTATCAGGTTGAAAATGTACCATCCAAGAAAAAAAAAAGTTGAATATGTACAGTCATGGCGACATATTTGATCAGGGTATTTTGATGATTCTTTAGTTGGTTCATGCCTTAAGTCTATTCAATCAATAACAGTGAAAAAACAAGCTACCTATGCAAATAATACATGTCACCGTGAATGTATGTGCAGTGCCCTTATGTATATGTCACGTTTATAGGTTATAATTTATTACTTCTTACCATGGATGTTATGTGGTGCAGATCTACAAAGCTCAAAAGAATGTTATTCTCTGTGCTGCTGCAGTTCTTCTGTATTGGTATGTTGGCAAGCCATTTACTACCTCTCCTAGAATCTTTGGGCTTGTGTGGTAACATTTTCGCATTGTATTTCCATGAACAAAGATTGAAGTGAACATTATTGTTTAGGAGAATCTTCACCATTCATTTCTCTTTTAAAAATGGCAAATGGAAGTGATAAAAAATAAGGTCCTCGTTGCTGTCTATTGTTAATAAAAATAAATGGTTTACTTAGTCTCTAGATTTACTTGCAGGTCCATTTACCGCATTTGCAAATATTACAAGGATATCCAAAGTTTGGAGGAAGTGGAGAAGCGGTACAAGGACAAGTAGATTTGCTCATACACAATCTTATATAAACTAGATGGTATTAAACTGTGTTTTGAACAAGTTGCTCTCTGTGGAATGGCATTTTATGGATCTTTTTCTATTTTATTTTATTTTTTCGTGTATGTCGTAATTGTTGTCTACACTCGTTTTTTTGCATGATTTACTGTTGAACTCTCTGTTTTCTGTGTAAACTGTGATACAACTTGACTGATTAGAAATCTGGTCATTGCAGTTTAAAAAATAATTGCGGATTTGCAAAAACCAACCTGTATGTTGGGTAACCCATCTTTTCTGAAACCAGCTAAAGTTCTGCTGGAAATATGTTCATGGGAATGATGCTTCGTGGTATTTCCTGGTTGTTCTGCTGTCAATATTGGACCATATTTGTAGGAGTAGAATGTTTTAGAATTCAGTCACGTCAGATATGCATCTTTAATAGCGACTGTTTGGGTTGTACATTTCACTGGTTTCATTGATCATTGTCTGGTTGTAAGCATTACTTGTTTCTTTTCTTGCCTGCACAAGCCTCTTTTTAAGTTCTTTTCATCCAAAATGTTAATGTCCAAAATGGTGTTTTCATCGATAATGTTTGTTTTCAGCGAAAAGAAAAACAAAAATGATGTTGTTATAGCTAGTTGGCGAAGAGGAATTGCAAGGGTTTTATAGTAGACATTTTATGTAATTATTTCATTTGGGTATGGAGGCAATGGGGATTCTGACAAGGGAGCGAGTCTAGTGGGACACAAAGGAGAAATGTGAAACTCAATTAAAAAAAAAAAAACAGAGAGAGAAAGCAGAAGTATGAAAAGGTTGCGTTTTGAGTAAAAGAAATTGATTTAGGGTCAATTTGGAAGGAGAGATGGATTGTTTTAAGGATGGATAGGATATGAGAGGAGGAGAGTGGGAAGGAAGAGAAAGATTGATGAGTGTTTTTTTTTTTTTAAATTAGTTGGTATGATAGGAAGGAATGATAGAAAGGATGATGACTTTCCATTCTTTGTTGTTGTTTTTGTTTGTTTTTTGTTTGTTTTTTTGTTTGTTTTTGTTTTGGTTTTTTTTTTTTGGTTTTTTGTTTTTTGTTTTGGTTTTAGAAAGAAAGAATGAAGGATTTAATTTTATTAACAAAATTACAAATTCACCCTTATAGAAATCACCTCATTTGCTTTAAATATTTTGTTTTTAAACATTAATTGATTTGCGTAGTTTAATAATGTACATGTTTATACACACTATGGTACTATACACGTGTGTGTATTGACATGTACATATATAATATGCATTTCCTGCCGAAATATATATTTATACGTAGTGATGTATGTTATATTTTTTGGTTCGGTTGTTGTGTGAGCATTTCTATTTTGTTACGAAGTCCAATTTTCTTTTTTTTTTTTCTCCCTCAAATAGGGAGTTTAAAGGGCTTAAACTATTGGATGGCCATCCTTACTAAAACCACGGCGATTTTACAGTCTCTCTTTCTCTTTTGGGTTTAATTTTTTGATGAGGAAATTATATGGCATATTATCAAAAGTAAAATATTTTATATTTATGCTATTAAATATAGATTAAATATCTTCAACTTAATTGAGTGGAATGGATCTTAAGTTTATACCAGCGGATGGCATAAACATAAAGATGGCATTACTGGAGTGACATTTTTGGATTTCTCCTTTTATTCGACAACACTTTTTATATATATATTTTCTACCAAAAACATTTTGTTTTTTGTTTCTGCGAGTCTTAAATTAAATGTTTGAAAACAGAATTGCTTACAAATTTACAAACAATCATGTTTGGACGGACTTCAGTAAAGAAGTTACTTTTGTTTAGTTTTTCTTTAATGTGATTAGTCAAGAGGAGAAATTGTGAGGATCTTTCAGTTAGAAGGCATTTTTTGTAATTAAGAGAAGGGTATTTTATACATTTGCCTTTGAATTTATTGGCTTTTGATAATTTGCTTCTTAAACTTTTAATTTTGGCAATTTACATCATTTTTTCCATATTTATAAAACTGTTCCAACATACTCTATTTTGATGATGATTGTGTTAAATTAGTGATGAAAAAATACGTCTCTAACATTCTAACTGTAACACAAATGTCTTAAATTCTTAAACTTTCAATCCATTAATTATGATAAAAAATTAGAGAAATATTTGTAAAATGGATCACATTATAATAGTTTTTCAATAGTCTTCTCACGACAGACAAAGCTCACATGAAAAAACTATCGAAAAAACGGACATACATGTTTGCCAACGTTTTAGTAGTTAAAGTTGAAAAGTTCAAATTGGTACGTCCTAAATAGAGTAGAAATTAATTACCAATATTAATAATACATAAAAGCAATTATCTTAACACACTAATTCTAACGTGCCTTACAAGCAAAGTCAACTCTACTCGGTTACAAGAAACTGAACAAATTGCAATATCAAATTAATAAGATATAATAACTATGGCAGTTATTGGCCTTTGCCGATACTTTGAGGAAGCGCAGATCCTAGTAAATCTGTTCACGCGGGCAACATTAATCAATTTTCTTTCTCCAGATCATACTTACGAATCCAACGGTTCATTGGAGCCACCTTTGATGAACCCTTACGCACGCAAGTCACAACACTATTGAGTTTCAGTCTCATGTCCCAAATTTTTGTTTCATTGTCTATCCCTCCAATACTATTTGGACAAGTCATTTAATTGCTTATATACTTTAAATGCTTAGTATTTATAATTATTTGATCAAATTCTTAAATTTACATGAGTCATCAAAATTGTGTTGAAATGAAAATCAATGAGATAGGAAATTCGGGGCAAAAAAGTCTGGATTCCAAAAAAATTTTCAATCGTCTTTGTGCTTTTAATTACATCCAAAGTATAAACTAGCATTCTATAATAAAAGTGTTGCAGTGGCAAGTACAAGTAAATATCATTTTATTGGCGCCAGAGCTTTTTTTTTTTTTTTATAGGAAAAAGACGTCAATTTATTAATCACGAATCAAGTCATGAAGTACAACGTGACTAATAAATGACGAGATAGAATCAACCTAAAACTTATTAGCAGAACTAGTAAAAGCAAATTTAGCTAACAAGTGGGCTACATAATTCCCTTCACGAAAAGTGTACCAAACAAAGCCACAAGAAGTTTGAGATTAGGCGTTTCTGATGTCTTATACTAGTTAGCTACCATTTAGTAATTATTAATTAAGTACCAGTTTCGGACAAATATCCCATTAATTATTAATTAAGTACCAGAATTCCTTCGACAATCTATTATTAGTTGGCTACCATTTAGTAATTATTAATTAAGTACGAGTTTAGAACAAATATCCCATTAATTGGCGTTGGAGGAATAGTTGTCACATTCTCTTGTTAGTTGGTTGCCATTTAAAATTATTTAATTTCAACAAATCGTTAATATGGTTCTATATTGACTCGATGCGGTAAGTGCATTGTATCCCAATCCTAAGGATATATTTTTCGTGCTAACTTAAAGCAATTAATGCTATAAGTAGAAGTAGCTATATTCTTCTTCTTCTTTCACTTTTTGTTTCTTCACTTTTTGCTTCTTCTTCTTCTTCACTTTTTGTTTCCTTTTTCGTTTCATAAAATATAGTACTTGTCTCATGGTTTAGACTTCTTCTTCTTCACTTTTTATTTCCTTTTTCGTCTTCTTCTTCTTCACTTTTTGTTCCCTTTTTCGTTTCATAAAATATAGTACTTATCTCATGGTTTAGACTTCTTCTTCTTCACTTTTTATTTCCTTTTTCGTTTCATAAAATATCAAGTACTTGTCTCATGGTTTAGAGTGAGAGGCCTCGTGAAACGATTAATTTTCACTGATTCCTTGATTAAATATGATTAACATGTCTTATTTAAATGAAACTAACTTTCATTTTCTACCCTAAATTATCATTTCAACCGAGTACTGAAACGTTTTTAAAGGCCTACTTTTTGTAGAAATATACACACACTGTATACATATATATATATATATACATATTTTTTTCTTTCCATTACTGATAAAAGACTCAATAATACTGTTAATTGGAGCACTATTTGGCATGAGGATCCAAAAGCTAAAATTTAAGACAGTTTCCAAAACTTTAAAGTAGTGCTTTCGACACTTTAGCTAGTAGAAGTTACAGTCGAAACCATTTAATGTGACTTTTTTAAACAAGTCAGATTACTACACAATTAGATTCCTAGTATTCTTACAATTTTTACTAGAACTGGATTACGTAGCCTTCTTTTTTCAAGGGCGTAGAGTTTAGCATTTCTCGCTAAAATCCTTTTGCTTTTACACTTTTTTTTTCTTTTATATTATTTCGGATAAGTCATTAGACAAACTTTCCTTTTCCAGGAAATAACAGTTCAGCACTTGTAAGGGACGTCATTTATATGTTCCTTCTAGACTGTAGTTTCTATCATTACATAGAAACAATATGGATAATCCAATCATTAGGCACGCACAGATAATAGCCATCATAAAGTTCTAACAACTAAACATATCTACGAGTTCATAAGTTATGATATATAGCGGTAAACTCCATTAACTTAATTGGACAAATCTTTAAGAAAAAAAAAATTAAGAGATATCAACGTCTTGATCATGTGATTCACTAAAGGTTGATCAGTGGAATAAATTTTAAAATTATTTGTTCACAACAAATAACTCCATTTGATGACGAAGAGGGCAAAAAAATACTCTTAAGATAATTATCCGTAAATTCTAAGCAAGTCTAAGCAATATAACACAGGAATTAAAGCATTAGAAAAGCTTCTTCAATATTATATATTATTTCTTCATTATTGTTCTATTTCTCTTCCTGCATTTTTTTTTTCCGAATGGTTTTCTTCCTGTATTTTGCTTTGTATTAACAATTTCTTTGGTTACCCATTGTACTTATATTGGTTGGAATCTTATATCTTTTTGTTTATATAATTATTATTATTATTTTTGTTTTACAGAACCCAAACTGGTTCCTTTAAAAGATCGAGCTGAATGTCGGGATCATGAAACTTGTACTATGAGGTGCAAAATATGGTTTGCACCACAAATTAAGGGAGTCTGTCTGAAAGTTTTTTATTGTCGACGTCATTGTTTCTGTGATATATATATATATATATAATTAGCAATCTATTATACAAAAAAAATGTAATGGGTTTATTATAAAATTTCATGGAAGGATTGAAAAAAAAAAAATTTACATAGAAGGGCGCTAGCTATATATATACTTTATACGTTGAAATAAATTTTAGTATATCTTTAGATTAATAAAACTATTATTTATGTATGAAACTTGTCGCAATATATGATTGTTAAGTAGCGTGTGGTTTTTCAGACAATCTTTTTCACGGAAAATGGGTAAGCCTATTCATCAAAGTAATTGTCCTTTTATCAACTAGCTTTTCTTAGAGAACGTAATGATATATAATAATAAAGAACGTTCTATTTAGATTTTAGCTGCGGTTACTGTGCTTGTTAAATTTATTACTTTTGGTGCTTTTTTTTTAGTACGTAATGAAGAATTTTTCCTTGATAAGGTTCAGAGTGACGTTACAGGAAATAAATTAAGAGGAAAAGCTTACCATATATAGTTATAAGAATCATTGTTAACTATTTAAACTTGAATAATAAATTTCTACACCAATACCCGCTCCAGTAGTTATGATCGAGCAACCCTGCACGATCGTGATAACTTCGAGCTTCAATCCATCTTTTTGTAACTCAAATTGCACAAGCTCGATATCAACATAGACATTTGATACCATTTTATTCGAGACATGCTTGCGCAAAAGGAGGTGGTCCTGAAGCACATTTCTACGTGTCGCATGGTTGCAGATCCTTTGACTAAGATCATTGCTTGGGAGGCTTATGTGTCACATGTTAGGAGTCTAGGACTGCGTAGAATGTGATTTGCTTATGTTCCAGTAGACTATTTTTGTATCAGATACTTGTTTTAGAAATATTAATGAAATTCAGTTTTCTTTTTGTCCATTTTTCGTTGTGACGTGATATTTCATTTAGCATAACACGCACGAAAACTATGATATGATCAGTCTAGTCATAGTTAGAGAGTATGCCAACAGGTATAGATCGGCTCTCCCACACGAGCAATCGCCTTTGGCGCTTAGAAAGTGAGCAAAGATGAGACACATTGGGGCTATAACAATAAGAAAGCGCGATGATGAGCCAAGTTTGTTATTTAGAGTGTCGCCTTGGAAAGAGCCAAGATGAGATCTTTGAAGATCAACTACGGATTTAAGAAGATCCCACTATCCATATTCAACCTGCAAGTTAGCCGGATGCAAAACCTTTGATATGGCGCTAAGCAGCGAGCATGTTAAGGCTTTGGGTCAAGAGCCGAGTGGCGATTAGACTAAGATCCGTACAGCGTATTTATTTGTGAGATGAGACATACGCTCCTTAGGAGGAGATCTCCACAGTAGCATGTGTTTATGCCGCATGCGCTTAGCGACCACAATAAGGGAGTGGAAGAATGAATCCCTACTTCTTCACTGTGTGAGTTCTTATGGATCAATATTTTCTATATTGATCTCTCTTTGTTTGTGCCCTATGTGACCTTTGAATGTGCATGTCACGAAGCGGAGGTGCGATGTATGCTACTTTGACATGTTTCCTATGGTCATGCCTGATGCGACCTAAAGGGGCATTGTTGGGAAAGCAGTTAAACTAAAGCTAAGTGATATGAGGGCGAAGAGAAGATTATTTAGTAACACATCCACGTTTTATGTTCACTGTCGACAAATTATGTTGCTTCTGGGTATGCAATATAATCGTGAACTAAGTACTAAAGTGGGTTTCTGCATTGCTCCCGAATATATGTTTATATATTGATTAGTGGGATTGGAGAGTCTGGGATGCTACGAGACCCTCCAAGGGATGTGCTATTCTAGTCTTGATAAGATTTGGTAGTGCTCCTGAACTCTCTTTTGCTAGTGGCTCGACAGTCGCACGACTCATTGACAAGTATGAATAGAAGGCTATGAGATTGATGATGAGAGAGATATGCTTTGCATGCACACCATGTGCGAGTGGGAGATGATGGACTTTACTGTTATTTAGACTTTCCTTTATTTGTCCAATTTTGACCGCCTGTGATGGTGCGTGGTTAAACTAATTAAGGAAAGATTTTATTTGAAATAAAATCACAAGGAAGAGGAAAGTATCACAAGGAAAGGGAAAGTATCTTGACTGATGGAGCAATTGTGGTAATTACTCTCTGCCAACTAATGAGTAACTTTCCCATTCCTAATCAAGAGGGAGAGCCTATAAATATGTGCTTAGGAATGCACATATACACAAGTCATTTGTTCTCTGTTTTTCTCTCTCTCTCTCTCTCTCTCTAGAATTCCATAGTGTTCTTATGTTGTGGAAAATATTGTGAGGGTTCTAGTAATTCTCACACACGGCGCTCGAAGTTCCGATTCCTGGAGTATCGTAAGACTTCCTGTCACGATCCTTAATCCGGTGCTCATTTAGAGATTCGACTTGGCACTACCACACACGCTTCCATCAGTAACGATAAATAGCAAAAGCATTGTATTCTCTGTAATTGTATTTTTTTTTTTATATATTTTTCGGCACTATTGTATATATGATATTGTGCTTACACACCGTTATGCGTATAAACAAAATTACAAGTTTAATAAAGATATCATATTAAATAACTTAAAATAAAATTAAAAAAGAAAACGCATCTTCAAGAACTTAAAACGAACTTCGTAGACTCTTGAAATCTGCAGACTCAATGCATTCCAGCTGAGGCCGGTAAGGATTCAAAAGTTTCAAAAGCTCAGTAGCTTTCTTCTTTGTCTCCTCACAACAACTCACCTGTATAATCAACAACAGCTTCTGAAAAGCACCAACTTGAAGAGCCTCTACGAGAACTGATCTTCCTTGAACATCGTCTTCCTCATTTACATTCTTACATAGCTTGCAAATAGCCGAAATCGAAAATGCGGTGGCGACATCGGAAACTCTCAACAGCTTCTTCACCAAAACCGGTATGGTTAGAGCATTTCCAAACGCCTCTTTTCTCCCTTTCTCGAACCCACAAATTCCATCCATTACCCCCAAAGCATTCTCAATAATTACACCCTTTCCGAAGTCAACAAGAATTCCAAGAATTAAAGAAACCAAACCCATCTCAACAAATGCTGATTTGATCGTCTCAGATGAAGTATAATAGGACGATGAAACCAGATGGAAGATTAACATGAGTGAAGCCTTGGTAATCTTTGGACAAATTTGCTTTCTGATGAAATCCATGAGTATCAAAACAAGTCCTTCAATATTTGCTATTACTTCCAAGTGTCTTTTATCACCATAAGAAAGAAGCTCAGTCAATACCATTGCCGAATTCTGCTTCACTGAAAGATCATCATGTTTGAGAAACGAAACCAAGCAACGTAAAGAAGCCTCGGATCCCAAGTACTTCCTTGCTTCTTCTCCAAAAGGAAACATCCAATTTAATGCCGACAATATTTCTTCAAATCCACTCATGTCTGACCCGCTGGTAGCGAAAGATTCCAAAGCATTCGCTAGCACGTTGGCAGCTCCGTTCACCATGATGCAGCGTCGATTCCGCTCGCTCTCCGCGCCCCACTTCTGGATTTTCTTGACGGATTCCAGGCATCCAAACAGGTCCTTGCGCCTCACCGAGGCCTCAACGCTGAAGAGAATCTCCGAGACCTCGAGTGGCAGGACCGGGGTTTTGGGAGTTGGGATACGCTGCACGCCATACTTCTGATTCTCCATGCACCACTCTTGGATCAACTTTCTGAGGCTGTGATTGGGAATCTGATCAAAGCTTTGGAGAATCTGCTTGGTCACCGGGCAGGTGAAGTTCCCGGCCTCGAGCCACGTCTCGATGTTTTCTCGGTCATAGGTTATGCCTGAAGATAGCGTGACTGGATCTTTCATCAAGTCGAGTGAAATTGGGCATAAAAAATGGTTGGGGATCTCAAGATCCATAATGACCATGAGATTCTTCTTGTGGGCATTATTTTTTCTTCTTCTCCAACCGAAAACCATTTTTCAGCTATGAAAAAAGACAGTAGATTAGGAAAAAAAAAAAAAAAAGAAAAAAAAAGGTCAATATGTTTCTATTTTGTTCTTCGTTTGGCATGTGCAGCTTATTTATATATGTAATGATAATGCATTACGTAGGTTTTGGGAGAAATAATCTCAGTTTCGTGGTCTTTTGTTTCAGTTTCACACACTTATACTACAGGATTTCAAAGCCGTAGACCTTAGAAGAGGAGAAAGAATTCAATGGAAGCGTTCAAACTGAGGGGGGAGAGATAGCGAGGAGTGTTTGGTAAATAACAACAATACGGCAATTTGAATATTGACCGTTGAAGGTTTCAAAGACTTAAAATCCAACCGTCAAAGGTGGAAGTGGTAAAAGTAAGCTCATCAATTTTTTGTTTAGGATTTTGATGTAAGCTGTGCTTTGGCTGTTTTGGCGCGTTGACAAGAAACATCTAATACGAACTAAAAAGATATTCTTATAAGCTTGTTGTCGTTGATTGGAACGACCTTTTCTAGCAAATAAAGATATAAAACGTCTTACTACGCTACAAAAATAAAATGTGAAGTGGACCCGGCTGTCCGGTATTTCATTTTTCTATTTACTAATTCAGCGACGTGCTATTTATATATAGAATAAATTTATAAATTTGATAGCAAGAGGAAAAAAAAATATTTTAAAAAATCACATCTAAAAAGAATTAAAGAAGGTGAGAAAAAAAAAAGAAAATATTTTAAAGGATTTTTTAATTAAAAAAAACTTAAGTATAAGGACATATTTGAAAGGATTTATTTCATTTCAATGAAAGTAAGAAAAAAAAAAAGAAATCAAAGAAAGGATATTGTAAAAAAATAAGCTGCCAAAGAATATTACGGAAAAAGACAAAAAGGACAATAAGCATGAGAAAAAAGTAAAAAGTAAAGAATTGAAAAACAGAATTAAAGTTATATAGGTTTTAAAAATAAAAAAAAAACTTTAATAGGGAATATTTGAAAGGAATTATTTTAATTAAAAAAGTAAAAAATGTTTTAAAGAAGAATATTATAAAAAAAAATTAACTACCAAAGAATATTAGAAAAAAACCAAAAACAAAAAAGAAAATAGGCAAAAGAAAAGTAGGAAAAAAAAAGTTAAAAAGAGTAAAAGAACAAACGTTAAAAAAATGAAGAAGAATGATAAGAACACGTTGCCTTTTAGGAGTCAAGTCTAAAAGGAAACTTGACTCCTTTTATATATTTTAGGATTAATTTTAAAATTTTCTCCCGAATTATGACTCTTGTAATACTTTGTTCCGTGAAGCGTTTTCCCTCAAACTTTATTCAGTTAATAAGTTTTATCTTTCTATTACAATGAGTAACGAAATTGCCACGTGTCACTTATTTAATGAGAATTAAAAGCTTAATTACGCTTATGCGCTCTTAATTAGATAATTCCCATTTCTATTGAAAAAATTCACCATCTTCGTTCCCATTTTGCTTTTGTTTTTTCCTCAACTGGTTCATCCATGGCAAGTTCCTGCAGTACAAACAGTGGTGGCAGCAGCTCGATAAATGAAGAAATTCGAGATCCTATTCGATGTCATGTGGGTGGATCCGATAGTGAAGACATCACACACGAAAAAGAATCTGGGAAGACAATTTTATGGTTGCATTTAGTATAAGGTAAATCGTTTAACATTAGACAACAATGCTTTTGTATATTTGGGTTGAATTGGTTAATTTGGGTTTGATTGGGGCTATGGGTTGATTATGTTTTAGTTCAAGGGGAATTTTTGAAATTAATCATTCGTTTTATGATTGAATGCAAAATGAAGAGGAGCGAAGCTGTGGGTTCAGAAAAATGGCTTGAAAGCGTAAAAATTTTCCGTGCAAGAGAGCTGGTTCTAGAATTAGATTTCAGTGTAAGAGATGTGGTTCCAGAATTAATCGAAAGGCTTGACAAGTTGAACAAAAAAATTGATAGGTTGGATGAAGAAATTATGAAGTTGAAGGATGCATTTGGAAAAAAGAGTGTAGAAACTGAGATGGAAATAAAAAAAAAAATGAGTTTACATATTATGTTTTGTATAGCTATGGTTGTTGTACTTTTGTTCTTTAAGTAGTGTATTTTTTCACAATGAGGATTGATTTTTCCTCAAATTTTTCTTTTTGGGGGGAAAGGTTCTATTTACCAAGTTTATTGTTAAAAATTGATTCAACAAATAAATATAGAGCTCAAAATAGAAAATAAGCACGAGAAATGCCTCTCAAGACAAGATGTCTATGAACTGTAATTTCTTAACAGATTTGATCAGCGAGATCCCTGCAACTTACAACGTTGAAATCCCTTCACCAAAGTTTCTCTCCTAAAAAACTAAATACTATTCCCCCAAAGAATTAATGAAATTACAATTGCACACTCCAATCTCACACGCTCAGAAAAAACTGATACAAAAGGCGAACAAAAAATAAACAAGAAACTTTACTTAAATAGACAATCAAAACAGCTGTCAAATGACTTCAATGCAAACAGCTGTACTTAGACTGTTGCATAAACTTGCTACAACAATTTTTGCAACACTGCTATCAAGAATATGATTTGTAAAATCAATCACGTTAATTCTTAAAGTCTTTCCATGTAAAGCCACATAAACCTAGATGTATATCTCTAAAACATGACATATTCGAACAGCCTAGCACAATCACTTCTCCATATCAATTACACCATCAAATTCCAACTTATCAAAAATGACTAAAGTTGACCTTCACCAAATCATATCAAAATGAATGACTTTAAACAATTTTCAAAATGACAAAAACAGCTGCCAATCAATCTTCAATCAAACCAATCATCAAATCATTCCCAAAATAATGCCAACACATAAAATCAATTAAATCCGAAATGACAACTATCAAACTGAAATCACAACAGAGTTTTTGAAAATATTAAAAGAATAAAAAATTACGTAAGAACATATTCAAAAGAAATTATTTTAATGTTAGTTTCCGAAACGTTTTTAGATGTGGAAGCGTGCATAATAAAAATTTTCATAAAACTTTTGAATACTCTATTGAATATATTAATTTATGCAATAATAAATTAATTATATTAATTAATAAAGATTAATACCTAGTGAATGATTAGGAGGATAATTTGAAGTCTTTGACTACAAACAGTCCAAGCTCCAAGCTTTCTCAGAAAATCCAAATCTTCCTCGTCTAGTCCTTGAAAGCTGGAAGACGTAGAGTATGTTCTTTTTAATATAGAATTATCAAATTTTGACCACTCACTAATTTGTATTCCCCCACTATCAATGCATGTATGTGAAGGAACTAGGAGTTAGAAGAACTTTTCTTCTCTTTACTCTCTGGGAATTTCAGCCACTATAGGATTTTTTATAGCAACAATTGTGTTCTCCAATTTTCTATTGTCTCCTATTTATATAATACGAGGAAGAGAGTCATTTGCTTTAACTTGAAAACAAAGCAATAGAAATTTGGTTATTTTAAATCTCATTTAAAATACAGTTTCCCATTTAATTTTAGAAATAAAATTCCTCCCTTCCCTTTACTACATGGCCGGCCATACTACAAGGAGACCTCCTCGTGGTTGGTGCAAATTGTAAGCAGGTTAGAGTAAAAATTCCTCTTTAATCCAGTTTCTATTTTAGTTCAAATTCAAATCTAAAAAAAAAAGTCAAACTTTACTTTCCTTTTTGAATTTAATTGTAAAACTTGTCAAACATGTATATCAGATATCTCGGAGAACAAGCAACTGAATTCTAATGGAATTCACCCTATGCCACACGCTCCTTGCACCTCCATGTGTCTAGGCGTGTGGCCTCCTGTGGTCTCACCATATTGTGTTCCAAAATAAATTTAATTAAATTTGCACCTTATTTCAAAATGAATCCCAATTTTTCAAGATCATCTAAATATTCTTCAATCTATAGAAAACATATTAAAATGCTCTCTTTATACACTTTTGTCTATAATTCAAACAGTTATGTTGGTGTTACATGCTATTAAAAATTAATTAAAGATATTCAATTCTAACTAAATCAATAAAAATGAAAAGTAAATAAAAAACTTCAATCCAGAAAAATCAAATATAAAAAAATCAACTGTTTTTCAAAAAAAAAAAGTCAAAGAAAAAAATTAATATTAATGGATTAACTTTCCTTTTAAAGTTTTAATGGATTAACTTAATGCATTTTTTTAGCGATGTCAAAATGGGCCGGGCTTGATGGACCGGCACGAATTCGACACGTTAAAAAATTGGCATGACAAGACACAACATGATTATTAAATGGGTATAATCGATCTTGTTTATTAAATGAATTGGGCTTGACACAGTTATTGAACAGGAAGCACACTAAGAGCACGGCACGAGCACAAATACGAACACGTTAAAAGCACAATAAAAGCCAATTAATGAAGATGAAGTATAAAACTAATTTTATTAATACATTTTACATGTCATAAAATATTAGTTTTATTAAGCAGTTTTAATAAAAATAAAAATAATAATTAAGTTAATAAAATGGAAAGTTAACCTATTCTTGTTAACAAAAATGAATAGCTTTCTTAGATTATTTGTGGTAAGAAAATTGACAAAATAAGTGCAAATTAACCTATATAATATTAATGAATGCTTTTGGGGTTCAATGTTTATTTATTTTTATTTGTTGTAGATATGCTATTTGGAACGATAAAGGCACATTAAAAGCACAATAAAAGTACAAGCACGAGCACGAGGACGATCCAGGCATGCTAAGGATGTAATGACTGAGAAAATTCCAGACCTTAAATAATACAATTCATGTATTTTTAAGCCAAGGATTTTCTTAGAAAATATTATGTTATATTGTGAATGGAGGATTTATGGAATTAATATATGTATTCCTAAATTCTATAGTAAATTTCATGTTAAGTTCATGTTTCGATCAAGTAAATTCGATCGATAAATTCTCGCCGTATTTTAAGGCGGAATAATTTTCAGTACAAGTATAGTTTGAGAATCTTAATTTCAAGAATCT